ACATGATTATCGAAATAATTGTCATCGACATATTCCATCCAATAATCGTCCCCATTGCACTGCCTCCAGTAGTCGAAATTCACCTGAAACAAAAGTCTCGAATCAGTTGAAGCGAATTTCGGGCGATTTAAGCGACGCTGTTGCTCACATTATAGTGGAGATATAATAAATAAATTAAGCAAAGTATTGTATTATGCTAAATGGGGTGCCACTAAAGCCACTTGTCATAAGAAGTATTAATGAAAGTCAGGTAATTAAAGCACTTGGGCAAAGGCGAGTATGCGGGGATGCTGGTATTTCATTTTTCATATCAACCCAGATTGGAGCCACCCACACACGCACACACGCACATGTGTGCTTATAATTATGTGAGTGGATAAGCCAGTTGGTATTTTATGAAGTTTCTATTGCCGCGAGCGCACAGCTTCCTGGGCGGCCCCATCAAATGCAGACCCAGACCCAAACCCAAACCCAAACCCAAACATAAACCCAGACCTAAACCCTAACCAAAACCGAAATCAAGTTCGCCATCTTCATCATCTTGGGTTGCGTGTGTGATTTACATTATAATAATTAGTTTATGGCAGAGGCACGCGCTGCTTTGGCAACGTCATCAAAATTGCAAATAGAAAGCAATTTCCACGCTTATTATACACACGTGTGACGGCCTGAGCGTGGCAGGAGCCGCACGTAATGAGATCCAGTTAACCAGGCTAGCAGAGTTAGCTGCTCTTACGCCCACTACAAGTATGTGTCGCCCTCTACAAACTTGGCCAAGTCGCTTGAGAGCTTATGCGCCAGTTAAAGTGCATGTGCGCTCCCTGCTCCCTGTTCCCTGTTCCCCGCTCGGTTTTTAGTGCTCCATGCGGTGTGCTGCGTGCAGCGTTCTGCGTACTTCTCAATTTCAGGCACACGAAATTACTTTGAAACTCGTGCCGCAAGCTGGCCAAAGCTGCCAGAGCAGGCAATAACCTGGCCAATGGCGTGTAAGTGACTGACTGACTGACTGACTGACTGGCCGACTGACTCGATGGCTGGCTGGCTGCCTTGTGGCCCCATTAGACCGCATGTTGCATAAAGCGCAGCAGGTGACTTTCGCCTGCGACAAAGCCGAGAACTGCAATTGCCGTTGGCACTCCACTGGCCAAGGCTGTGTCCAAATTTAGTCGAGTTCTAAAAAGTCATCTCTCTCTCTCTCTCTCTCTCTCTCAGTCTCTATCCTGCCAGATCCTATCACGCACTCCCTCCCTTCTTGCCCGAAAAGACAAATGCAGACAACTTTGTTTGGACTGTTTAGGCCAGGCCAAAAGCCAATTCGATGCCAACTTTGTGGCCACTTTACGCTGTCATTTCAATTAGCCATAGCCTTTCAACTTGTCCAGGGCACGTCCACTTGGCGTTCACTCTTTCTGCATACCCTGCAATGGTTGGCAACGTCCTCTTGCTCTGCTCCAATTTTCTTTGCCTTTCAATCTCTCAGTCTTTGCCTTCCTTTATGATAATGAGCCAAGTCTTAGGCTTGGCCAGCTGCACTTAGGGTATCTGCTAGTCGAGCACTCGCAACTGCTTCGCTCGCTGTCGTTTTCGCTTTCAGCGTGTGTGGGCAGCGCCGAGCTGCCAAACAATGAAATATAATTTGTATAACTTAAGTAAATGCGCAAGTCATTAGCATTTCGGTCCGCGTTTCTTCTGTGGGCATTCTGCAGCCGTGTTTAATGAAGCTCATTAATCACGCCAACCAATTGCAATTCGAAGTCGGCCGAAGTTATGAATAAACTACTGTCAACTCGGCTGACGAACTCACTGCTTCGATGGTTGCGTTCAGCTGAATAACTAATTGACAGACTGACTGACTGCCTGCCTGACTGACTGATTGACTGTCGGCTAACTGGGCTTGTTATGCAAATTGTCTGTTTTTGCCACCTCCACGGCTCGCGCGGCGTATGATTAATATTTATTTGCCAGCGAAGTTTTCCGCTCTTGCAAAAGGCGCGCAGAGCAATAGAGTCGCGGCAGCTGCACTTAACCATAATTAAAGTGCAATCTCTGCGTATACGTAATCTGCGTGAGCGCATTGCCCAAGCAAACCGAATGAGATATGTTAAGCAGCCTGTGGTCAACTGTGTGCGAGTGTGTGTGTGTGTGTGTGTGTGTGTGTGTGTGTGGGCTGTTGGCCAGCCAACAAGAAACAAGTCAAGCTAACTCTTTACACATGTACCGAGGCAGCCTCTGAGTCAAGGGCGACAGAGCTGCCCACAGAGCCCCGCGCAAATCGTGTCATCGAGTGAGCAGAGCAGGCTGAGCAGCCAGAGCTGAGCTGGGCTAAGCCCAGTTTAGTTCAGGCGGCAGCCCGGGCGTATGCGTAATGCCAGCTCCGGCCGTTGGGTTGTTTGATTAGGCCAGCTGTGGCGCTCTCTCATGGACAGCAACCTGTTGAGTAGGGCCTGAGCCCATTGAAAATGGGACTTAAGGGCAAAACGGTTTTGTGTCAATGTCTGCAGCAGACAGAAGTAGGCGTGGCGGAAGCCATTAAGAATATATATCATTGAGCAAGGCGACAAGCGGACACGTCCGTCCGTCAGTCTGTGAAAATATATAAGTAGCAAGCAGAAGAAGGCGTGGCAGAGCCCATAAAGTATGCGGCTTGTATCTTTTGATTGTGGCGAAGGGCCTGCCTGTCGAGCTAACCATCCCGTCCGGCTATAAGTCCGCCCGTTTATTTAACTGTCCACCAAAACTTGAGACTTGAAATTATCAAAATATATATTCTCACATACGTTTTATAAGATAAAGATGGTTTTATTGTTATTTTTATTTTGCTATCGATAACTTGCCTCAGTTTCTATTATCGATAAAAATCGATTATGTTTTAAAGCACACAAACTACAGATTTTAAGTTTACTGCATATGTATGTATGTTTGAATATTGCATATCATGAATGAATACAGTTTTGGATGCCTATGCCCAAAAATTTGCCAAAAAAAAACCCATTTCAAATACTAGAAATTTATTCTTTATTAAATACAAATATCTGGGGGCGACTCTGCCTCGATTGCCAAAAATTTTAATCAAAAAGAAGAAACGAAATTTGTTTCACAATAAATTTCTCATAGTAAAACTCATAGGCCATGGGCCATGGATATTATATCATATCAGCTCTCAGCTCTTCTTAGGTTTCTATGTATTCCTAGTCGCCCGACTACCCACTAGGGCACTCCAGTTATGTTTCATTGAAATATACTTTAAGAGAGTTCATGTGTATAAATTTCCCTTGAGATATGCCAGCATGTATTCATTATCAGCATGCATATACATATGTATGTATATGTATGTAACTATATATAGTAGGAAGTCTTGGGAAGGAGTTATTCGATATTAATTACGAGCTCAAGCTCAGCAATGGGTTCTAGAACTTTAGCTTGACTTATGTTAATCAAAATATACATATATACGAGTTCCAACAAGGCATTCGAGCACACACACACACACTCACACACTTACTCACTAATACTTACATGTATAAGGCTGGGCGCAATCAAATTAAGCCCCAATCAATTGAATGCCTTTCGGCGAGATGCCAAACTTTGGCGCATTATGAAGTCCAGAAATAACGGCATTAGTACTAATAGGGGATATGCGTGCGTCTGTAGGGCTCTTAAGAGCTCTGCCAGGGGCCAAGGCACCTATACGCCCCAATTGGCAGCGGGGTGCAGGGTATAGCTAAACGCGTTGAGCTGCACATAAAAGTTACACAAACTCAATTTTGTAAAAGCGAGTTGTGTGTGTGTGTGTGTGTGTGTGTGTGTGTGTGTGTGTGTGTGTATGGGGGGAGTAAGTATGTGTGTAAGTCTGTCAGCGGCAGCCACTGTTTGCTCCACACACACACACACACACACACACACACACACACACACACACACACACACACACGCATGTTTGGGATGCCTTGAAAATGGCAAATATTTGTCTGCCGACATTTTTTTGTTCTTCTTCTTTTCTTTTTGCTTGTTGCCCACGCAGTCGGCGGCCATTTTGTTGCGCAAGTGTCTATCTCGCTGCGATTGTTATTGATGTAACATTAGAGCCGGCCACGCCCCTTGAACGGGTTAAGGACTGTGTCCGCAGCAGCAGCAGCAGCAGCACTAAGAATTATCACTTTTGCCGCATGATTAATTACGACCACGTGAATTGGCAGCAATCTGAGCGGCAATTGTTGTGTCCCCATCGCAATGCTCCCTTGTCTTTGCCGTATTGTCTGTCACGGATAGTGTTTGCTTTTCTTCTCTTTATTATTTGTTTATGTGTTTCTGTTTTTGTTTTCGGCATGATAAATGCTCGCTCAGTCGCTGGCTGGCCGCAAGGCAAATGCAAAAATCTGCTAATGCTGTGCGTGGGTGTTGTTATTGTTGTTGTTGCTGTTGCTGTTAAATCGTTGCCAGTTGCCAGTTGCTGGTGGCTGGTGGCTGGTGGCTGGTTGCTACCGCCTGTGGCCATGGCCACTTCAAAAGCAAACCCACACAGCCAGCCGGCGGCGCTAACGAGTTACGGCCGAAGCGACGACAGTTCTTGTGCTTGGCCAGAACTTTGATTTGAGTGCCCCGTGGACGTAGGCGAGAAGTGTGTGTCTGGCGTTCAATCCACACGCGCACCTCTGATCATAGTTCCATGGCGATTATCTGACTTGCGCTGGCAACAGGGTATCTGGCAGTTGGGCTGCAGCTCGTTCAGCCGCCACGTCGGCGTCGACTTTGATGCTGTGCCCCTGAGGGCAGCCCACGCATGCCATTGCACATGGCCAAATGTTGCTTGCTTATGGCTTTTGCTGCGCATTAGCGCGCGCCCGGAGCCAGCCACTTGGCTTAATCCAGCTGGCGCTCAAGTGCCGCCTTTTAATTGGCAATCGTTGCAGGCATTAGCGGATGTCGTCATCCACCACCAATCACTCAGCCAAATCCATACTCACACACCGTCTCTCTCTCTCTCTCTCACACACTCTCTTGCAGATGAAAACAAACTAAACTCCAGCTCATGGGAGGATACATTGACAGAGCCACAAGAACAGCATCCACAGTCGCAGTCACAGTTGCCGTTGCAGTCACACTCGGAGTCACTGTCAGTGGCACAGGCACAGCATCAGACATCGTCGTTCATCACAGCGCCAGGTCAGGGGGTTGGCAGCCAGAAGGCGAGCTTGACCACAGCGCAGCTGCAGAGCGCGTTTAGCCGGCGCATTGCGGAGCAGCAGCAGCAGCGGGCAAAGGGCGGCCAGATCAGCCAGCAGGCAGACAGCGCCACAATTGCCGGCGGAAGCTTCAGCGCCAACGGTGGCCAGGCTGCCGTTGGTGTTGGTGTCGTTGGTGTCGGTGTTGGCAGCAGCGCGAGCAGCAGCAGCGAGCGGGACACCAAGTCGCCGGGACGCGAGCGACGCGAGCCGCCCACAGCGAGCCACTCCGACGAGGAGAACTTCACCGAGGAGGAGCAGACCAGCAGCAGCGTGAGTTCATTAAGCGCCGGCAACCAACGCAATTCGCAATTGCGTTCCACCTTCAACAAGGCCAAGCAGCATTTGTCGTTTGACAAATGGCGCACGGCCGCCTCGGCGAGCTCCTCTAGCGCCACTCCGAACTCGCTCAGCGGCCAGCCGCAGTGCAGCCAGAGCGTCGGCCCGAACAGCAGCCGCGACAGCAACATGATTATGCGACGGGCCAGCGCCTGCACGATGCCCACCGGCTCGGGGGCGGCAGGCGGGGTGTCCCAGCGCGAGGATAATACGGCGCCCGGTGAATCGCCGGGCGGACGGCTGTCGCGCTGGTTCTCCATACGGCGCGGCTCCTCGCACCAGTACGATGTGGGCGGGCGCGACGGGCGCCAGCTGACCGGCTCCAGCTTCGATATGCCGGATGCCTCGGCCTCGGCCGCAGCCGCACCGAAGCCGACGGCAGCGAACGCGACGCTGGACGCCGCCTCGCCACAGAAGCTGGCCAATTTGGGCGCCAGCAAGATGATGCCGGGCGTGCCCGAGGTAAGTCTCCGTCCCCCCGCCCATGCCCATCCCCCTTTGAGAGACCCCGGTTCCCTTTTACTAACGGCCATTTGCTCTTGCAGTACGAGGACGACGAGAACTCGGCGCCGGAGAACAATCGCTTCGACATGGACCTGATGATACCGCCGGGCAGCCGGGCCAACGGCACCGCCCGCACCACCCACAGCCGACTCATAGTGCCAATGCTGCCACCGGCACCGCCCGGCCTCTCCCAGCAGCAGCTCAAGCGGCGCCACATCGTGGCCGCCATCGTGCACAGCGAGAACTCCTACGTGGCCACGCTGCAACGTCTAGTCAATGTGAGTGAAAGAGAAACGAGAGCATGCATACGGTGGTGTTGGGTACGAGCACCCAGAACACTAAATTTATCAATTAGAACCAGCACAATTGTAGTTCAGGATTGGGGCCATCGATACAGGTTTGGTTAGCGTTACGTGGAGCTGCTTTGCGATAAGGTTGTGGTTAGTATGTTGTGTTCTCCTCTCCTGCGTGTGTTGCGCGTGTCATTGTTGTTGTTGTTGTTGTTGTTGTAGCTACAATTCAGTGTGGGGCACGGACTTTGGAACGTACTCGTCGTTGGCATTTCGTTGGCCATTGTCATCGTTATCATTGCACTCCTCTTCATAGTCATCCCCACCCGCATCTGCATCCGCATTCTGATTGCCATCGTCATCCTCCTCATCGTGTGTGTCGACGTCATCCTCATGTGGCTCGCCAACATGCAGTGTTAGCTTGAAATTGAGGCTTAGTTGCGGCACGACAAATCGGCATACCTCATATTCGCAGAGTATACCCGTATCAGCGTCGTCCGATTCCTGCGGCATTGCTGGCTGTGTATTATCTGTCAGTGTCGTTTGCGACGCATCCTTGACGTCAGCGTCCAGGTCGGTAATGGTCGTTGTGGACTCGCTGGCAGCGAGGGGCAGCTCCGCGGCCTGCTCGTAGGCACTGGCTGGCAGCTCGGATTGCAGCAGCACGTCAATCTCGAGGGGCGTGAGTATATAATACTCGCCGGTCACCTCGTCGCGCTGGATGCAGCCGAGCAGCGGCTCGTCCTCCTTCTTCACCATGTTGATCTGCTCCATGCTCTCATTTGTCCAGCTGTCGATTAGCCTTGCGTCGTCTTCCTCGTTGTGTGTGACGCTCTCTGGATCACCGTCGGGGTATTCGGGCAGCCGAAAGCTGTAGAGGCCAGGCGCGTTCAGCTTGGCGTAGCCCCTGTTTGTGTCGGACCGCAGGTACAGCTGCACCTTGGAGAACGTCTCGGCCACCAATGCTACCTCGTCCTCGTCCAGTTCGGGAATCGCGTCCTGCGCGTGAGCACCACACGGCAATTTACTGTCCACTGTCTTTGTCATCTTGTGTGCCGAAAATGGATTAGGTTTCATTTGGTTGGACATGTATAAAAAATTGAATGTTCGGATATTTTGTACGCTTTCTCAATTTATTTACAATAAATAAAAAAATGTTAAATTTCAGTTTGTATTCCAGGTCATGTCTTACTTATGTCAGTCAAGTGCCCAGACTGCTTGGATCTGTTCCTTATTATAATTTTTGTGTCACATTCAGCTTTAAGTCGATTAGCAGAACAATTTGTAAGCTCTGTTAACAACAGTTGAGCTGAAAAGGTTAACATGCAGAGAACAGTTTCTGTTTCCGATTTTGTTAGTTGACATATTAAAGTGCCTGTAGAATGTTCCAGTAAAATTTCAAAACTACCCTCAATAGAGGCCTCAGCTTCGACGATTGCCTTCTCTAACTTGCTTTCACGCGAGCATCCTGATGAGGTCGGAGAACAGGAAAATTGTGTTGGGAGCCGGATCAAGATTATCCGATGTGTATAGTCGTAATGGAACAGTTCAATCATTTTCTTCTCTTCCAAAATACCGTCATTGTAAAGATCATGTAGAGTATTTGATTTTTTCAGTTCTTTTGTGTTTCCCGCTCCGTAGATTAATTTTAGCCTGTGGCCTTGGCCTTTAATATCCGCCGACTTATGTTAATGTTAACTCTCATGACAACTCATTTGTTTTCTTCTTTACATGCCATCCAATTCCCACCGTCATATGCCGCCACTCTCCGTCATAACTAACACCAATTCTAATACACACGCACACACGCACTCACTCACACTTCTTTGTAAATTGTATCTTAACTCATTCAATACTCACAACACTCACATCAATCATTCAACCATCTCAAACCACCTTAACATAAAAAGTAGTTACAAAATAATTAGTTGAACACCCATTAAAAAGTACCAAAAATAAAAAATCAAATACCCAGCATTTCGAACGGCAAACAGAGAGAGAGAGAAAGAGAGAGAAAGAGAGACAGAGTGATCTTTCAACTTTGGTAAAGCATCGACATCTGTAGAAGGAGAAATGCAACTATCGAACGACCTGCTAATATTTGAACCGTTTCTCTCTTTTCGCTCTGCTCGACAGGATTACAAGAAGCCGCTGGAGGAGTGCAGTCCACCGGTACTGAATCCGGTCAAGATCGCAACGCTGTTCCACTGCTTGCCGGACATTCTGCACTCGCACAAGCTGTTCCGCATCTCGTTGGCTGAGTGCGTGCGCAACTGGGATCGCGACGAGAAGATCGGCGACTGCTTCGTCAGTGCCTTCGGCAAGCCGCAGCTGCTGGAGATCTACTCGGGCTTCATCAACAACTTTTCGGCGGCCATGGAGCTGGCCAAGATGGAGGAGAAGCGCAAGTCGGCGCTGGCCGACTTCTTCAAGGTCAAGCAGATCAGCGCCCACGATCGCCTATCCTTCTTCGGGCTGATGGTGAAGCCCGTGCAGCGTTTTCCCCAGTTCATACTGTTTCTGCAGGACCTGCTCAAGTACACGCCGCAGGGCCACCACGACCGCATGTCCCTGCAGCTGGCGCTCTCCCAGCTGGAGCTGCTCGCCGAGCTGCTGAACGAGAGCAAGCGCGTGGCGGAGCAGTACCAGGCCTTCAAGGAGATGCTCGGCCACATTAGCGGCACGTTCAACACGCGCTCCCTCAACAGCGTCAGCGACAGCTGCGGCAACCGGGCGCGCTATCTGCTGCGCGAGGACAATGTCACCCACATGGAGTTCAACCAGGCCGGCTTCATTGTCAAGTGCAAGCAGCGACGCCTCCTGCTGCTCAACGACAAGGTCATCTGCGTGTCCGTGGCGCCTAAGCAGTCGCACGACTTCGGCGCCACCGAGAAGCTCACCTTCAAGTGGATGTTTCCGGTCAACGACGTCGAGATTGTGGACAACAGCGCATCGGCAACACTCTCGAGGATACTAACAGCAGGTAGGTTGCCATCAATTGCGACCAGGCGAACAGCTAACAACTCCTCTCCTCCGCAGGCCTAAATCGGGGCGGCAGTCTCAAGTCGAACGGCAGCAGCGGCAACGCCAACAGTGCCGGCGGCTACGCCAATGCAACACTCGGCGGTCACGGCCATGGCCAGGCTGGGCTGGCTGGCTTGGGCTCCCCGTTCGCCGCCGTGGATGCGCACAGCTCGCCAGCCGCGCAGCTCACGAACGGAGCGGATAATCTGTGCAACGAGATGAGCACCCTGATGTACGACTACGAGGTCATATCACGCATACACGACCTGGTCGGCACCCTGAAGGGCAGCTACAAAGAGCTGAACTTGAACACCACACGCAACGTGCTTAACACCATCCAGGGCTCCATACAGCGCAAGGACGAGGAGATGGCCTGGGTGGACTCCTGCTGCCTGCAGCTGATTGGCCGCCACAAGTCAGGCAAGGAGGAGACCTTCACTTTCCAAACTCAGACGCCGAATGTGAAGAAGGAATGGATAACCGAACTGAGACTCGCCCAGCTGGCGCTCGATCCGAACAACTCGCCCGCCTGGGAGCGCTCAGTCTCCCAGCCCCACCATGCACACACACATCACCAACATGCCAATGCCTCACAGTCGCCCGGTAGTCCTCAGGCCACCCTGCACACCTACGAGCAGCAGCAGCTGCAGGAAGCTGTGCAGCAGAAACAGTCGCGCAAGATGCCACTATTTGTCAAGGCGATGCCCGTCTACCGATCACAGCATCAAACGGAGGTGAGTTGTAGACACAATCGAACTACAGTGCAGTGGAGTAGAGAAGAGTTACAGTAGAGTGACAGTACAGTAGAGTTACAGTACAGAGTAGAATAGAGTAGAGTTACAGTAGAGTAGAGTAGAGTAGAATAGAGTAGAGTTACATTAGAGTAGAGTAGAGTAGAGTAGAGTAGAGTAGAGTAGAATAGAATAGAGTAGAGTCGAGTAGAGTCTAGTAGAGTCGAGTAGAGTCGAGTAGAGTCGAGTAGAGTCGAGTAGATTCGAGTAGAGTCGAGTAGATTCGAGTAGAGTCGAGTAGAGTCGAGTCGAGTAGAGCCGAGTAGGGTAGAAGTAGGGTAGAATTGCTGGGAAATTGAATCCAATTGAGAACTACAAGAATCTTTTCTTTCCCCCCTTTGCAGGTGCGCTGTGGATGCTATTACAGCATCGCCAATGACACTAAGCAGAGCGGCAACGCGCGACGCCGGCACAAGCAGCTGAACTATCTCTGGATGTGCAGCAGCGATGGCACTTCGTCACACATCACCGTGCTGGCCCAGCACCCGCAGCAGGCGGGCAATTTGCGGGAGGCGGGCTCCTTTGACTTGGTGGAGACGCAGGTCTCGGCAATGGAGTTCGTGAAGGGCCTGGACCAGTGCCGCACGCGCGAGGAGCACAGCAGCCTGCTGGGCGACCTCGTCTGGCTCGGCACGGACAGCCGCAAGCTGCTCATTTACTCGGCGCGCAATCCCGAGCAGGAGGAGCAGCTGGGCAGCTATGCGGTGCCGGGCGCCGTGCAGCGCATTCTGTACCACTTCGATGCCGTCTACGTGTCGCTCTCCAACGCGACCGTCTTGATCTACAGGCGCGCCCACGACGGCGTCTGGCAGCTGCGCGACCCGCAGCATGTCTCGCTCGGCGACTCTGGCATGCCCGTGCCCAGCATGCTGCCCATCAACATGAACATCTACGCCTCGTGCGGCAATAGGGTCTACGTGCTGAACGCCCTCAACGGCGAGCTGCAGCGCAGCTTCGAGGTGCAGCACGGCGCCAGCCAGCAGGTGAATCTGATGGCGCACTCGGGCATCGGCCTCTGGATTTCGCTGAAGAACTCGACAATGCTCTGCCTCTACCACACGGAGACCTTCAAGCACTTGCAGGACATCAACATTGCGTCCAGCGTGCTGCGCTACGATGCCAAAAAGGAGCAGCCGCTGAACAACAGCTCCATCTACGTGACGGCTCTGATGGCCTGCAAGGGCCTGCTGTGGGTGGGCACGAATGTGGGCATCGCTGTCACCATACCGCTGCCCCGGCTGGAGGGCGTGCCCATCATCAGTGGCGGCATCAATATGTCCTGCCACGCCCACTTTGGCCCGATCACCTTCCTCCTGCCGCTGATACCGAAAGTCTATCCGACCTACAAGCCGATGGCCGGCGCCACGGTGTCAGCTCCGCTGGTGCCCACCGTGCCGAGCATGGGCGAGGACCTGCAGCTGCCCGCCATCGATGCGGATCCCAAGAAGCTAACCGAAACGGACCTGGAGGAGAGCACAGTCATCCTGCGCCGCGATCTGCCCAAAGAGGAGCTTGGCTCTACTTCGAACTCTCAGGCTGGCGCTAGCTCCGGCCCGACGACTCCTGCCGCTTCCTTGCTGCGGGAACCGAGCGTCGAGGCAGCAGCGGACTCCAACGTGGCAACGAGCAGCCTCTCGGCCGCCTCTTCGCCGCGCTGCTCCAAGCTGGACAAGCAGCACTCACTGGACCAAAGCTTCACCGCCAAGATACGCGCCTCGCTCGCCAACTCGCCCGCATTCCATCGCAAACGCTTTCGGGACCTGGGCGCTGGCAGCGGCAGCGGCAGCGGCAGTGCTGATGCAACTTCTCGCATGTCCAAGACGTTGCCGCGCGGCCTTGGATCTGCTGCAGCGGCAGCAGCCAACGGAGCCGGAGGACTGCATTCAGGCGCGGGCGCGCTGTCGCAGCACGGGGAGCACGGCTACTGCGACGTGTACGGGCTGTACGGCAAGCTGATCTTCGTGAAGGAGAACTACGATGCCGAGGAGGGCACGCAGGGCAACCTGATGGACATGATGTACGAGGGCATGCGACGCTCCGATCCGGAGCTGGCCGCCATACCCGGCAAGGTGTGCACCCTGGACAGGCGTCTGCGCATGAAGGCCTCGCGTCCGCGCTCGCTAGACCTCTCCAACTGGTCGGTGGACTCGAAGTCGTCCAGCCTGTACACATCGTCAGGCAGCGAAGAGAGCATGGGCATCCGGCTGTTTGGCGGACGCTCGGTCTCGCGCAACAGCAGCAGCGCCAGCCACAAGACCTCCGGCACGGGCAGCGACCTGGGCAACATCTCGGAGAACGGCCTGATGACCACCGCCGACATACACCATCAGCACCAGTCGAACAGCGCGCCCAAGTCCGAGGACGGCTTCAAGCACATGCAGGCGGCCGCCGCCTCGGACAAGCAGGCAGCACCGGCCGCAGTTGCCACACTGAAGCGCAAGCAGAAGCAGAACTCGAAGCAGCAGCAGCAGCAGAACGCGGACGGGCCACGCACAGTGATCACCCTGATGGGCGGGCGCGGCTACTGGCGGCATGTCTGGTACAACAGCAGCGGCAGCTCGCCCGGCCAGAAGGGTGGCTCCGGTGTTTGCGGCACGGCTGGTGGCGCTGGCTCGGGCTCTGGCGGCGGCGGCAGCTCCGGCAGCTTCTCGCCGCTGACCGCCAACTCCAACGATGCGCATATCGTGGTGTGGGAGAAGAAGTTATAATCTCAGGAGTTGATGTGCTGCTGCACTCTGCAGCAGCACCCCCACCAGCACCATCCGCCCCTGACGGACCTCTGGCGGCGCGTGGCCGAGCAGCGTCGCAGCCGTGTCCGGTTCCGTGGCACGTTCACGCAACGCGATCGGGAGCGCGGCAGCCAGGGTCTGGGCAGCGCCACCTGGCGGTCGGATGGCGAGCGTCTGGCGGCGAGCGGCTCCAGCGGCATGCTCAGCGCCAGCCTGAAGCGGCTCACCAAGCTGAAGCGCGGCGGCAGCCTGAAGGAGTTCTAAGCGGAGTCAATCCACAGCTTGTCGCCACAAAGCATCGTTTGCCAAATGTATATATCAATAATCATCTCATGTGTACTTTATAGTGTATAGGCTAGGCTTAGACACGAGCTTGGGGCTGGGCAGCTGCCATGGCTAGCTTGAAGCATATACATATACATATATATATATATCTGTTTATTCACTTTCATATATCGAATATATACATATATGTACTTGGCTAATCTTTGAGCAAGAAGGAACTGCGCCTTATTACAATTTTTTTTTTGCGTCGCTCTAATATTTTTTTTTTTAAGTAATATTGTTAGCCATAGGTAAATGTTTTTTTTTTTTTATATACATATATATATATATATACATATATCAATAATTCTATAAAATTGATATCCAAAAATGCATTTTTGCTGTAGCACTTAAGGACGCACACAACAGGAGATTCGATGTGAGACAGGTGTGCGTGAGCGAGCAGAAATATCGGCAAAGCCAAGCAACAAAACATTGTTCGATGTGTGTACAATAAGTATTAGTTTAATTGAAACTGAAAGTCTCTGGCCGCAGCTGCGGAGCATTGCGAATACGATTTGTTTTGAGGAGCTCGGACTCATTTCTCGACTCGCCGGGCGCTGAGCCCGGCAGCAGCTGAACAATTTCCTTATGTATAATTAATCGCAGAAAGTAAATACTTCGATGTTGTCCACGTGTGTCTGTTCTTATCGCGAATGCGCTCGATCGGTGTTGTAGTAACTTGTGCCTCATCGTCGGGCTGAGTGCGAAACCAATGTATGTAGGCAGGGCACATCTCTCTATGCATACATATGTATACATAAACGACTTAAATACAACACACATATATCTATATACATACATACATACATATATACGCATACTTATACAAGCGATAAATGTTTACTCAATAAACATATACACACATACATACTTATGTACTACTGCATACATACCTATGTGTGTATCATGCAGTACATTATTATTATATATATATACGATATATACATACATACATACTTACACGCATAGCAAATTATTTATAAAATAATTAACCAAGTTTTTATACGTTAAATAGAAGGCATAATGAAATTATGTAATTTTTGTAACAGTGTGCATCTAAAGCGCTGAACATGCACACATATTTACATCTAAATAGTAACACGTACATACAGACATACATATTTATCTATACCTATATCTATATCTATATCTAAACGCATACGCTATAACATAACATAATCAACGTCATCGTTTTGAAACTGAACAACACACACAGATAAACACCCACCCACACACACACACACACACACATTTACATTTTCAGTGGATAATCAAAAAAAAAAAACATTGTATGTATTAAAATAAAACTCAATAAACTTTTTTTTTTTTGAAATAAATCTACAAATATGTTTCTTGTTTACTTGTTCCATATCATTGGGTCCTTTGAGGTTTCCCTCCGACAACAGCATAACTCACTTATATAAAATACATATGTACATATGTATTATATGTAACTTTCTTTCCCTTTAAAGACTGAATCCAGAGCCTGAGAGATGCTTGATTTTCTGAAACACTGTATCCCAGTTCTAAGATCTATACTGTCTCTACTTTCGTCTATAGTATTGACACCCACACACACGTACGCACGCATCCATGGACTTACTAAGGGAACTTCATTGCTCAATAACTTTTCGTGTGTGTATATGGACTATTATCCAAAATATAAGCAAGTAGGACCGTTGCTGTCGGGCGTTACCGACTGGGGAATACTCATTCACACCCCATCGACAATTTAGAAGCTAAGTTTAGCTCTAATACTGTGGAAAATTCAGCCCCTACTGGGCGTACACTTCATATTTGGCCAGCCCATAGAACAAGCTAATAGTAACCTAGCTGCAAAATTTGGATGCTTACGCTCCGAAAATGAAAAAATTACAGGGTATATTTTGATATGCCACACCCCTAAAGAGGTGTAACAATATTACTTGGCAAATAGATAGAGGAGGTTACTAGAAAGTTAACTATCCAAATTTGAAGCTTCTAGCTCTTATTCTTTAGGAGATATACACTTTTGCGGTTTGCCTCTCCCCCTGTGGGCGGATATATATCCAACAACATTTTTTGGTCTTGAGAGGTCAGTCCGAGTACATATACCAAATTTGAGGTCTCTAGCATCAATAGTGTCTAAAATATAGCAGAATTTGAAAAATCACTGTCTTGGGGTCCGATTTGAAATGCCCCTAGTAGGCTTGGGCCCATATTTCAACGTTTTAGCAATAAAATTGTAGCAGATACAGTTTTGCCAGATTTGCCACGCTGTCAATGGGTGTAGATATTTCCGCCATAGATTTTTGATATTGCATGGTCAACGCGGATCTACATTCCAAATTTCAGCTTTCTAGCTCTTCAACTAATATGATTGCGGAAAATGCATTTTTCGATAGGTCACGCTAGAGGGAAGATTGGGAAAACTTTAACACTGTATATATCGGAGATATACATGAATATGTGTTCCGAATTTCAAGTCTCTAGCTTCAATATCGCCGAAAAAAGTGCGTTCTTACGGACAGACTTTGTTACAATATTTGTGCACATAACATTCGAGTGCAAAGCCCTTTGAGTACATTGCTGAGTAGGCAGATCTTTCAATGGATGTGACTCTTTTATAAAAACATAAAATGCTGTTAGTTATATTCTACATAATAATATAATGGTGAGATTTCGCTTGATGCAGGCTTGAGTGTCATCGAAGAAATAAAAAGGGTCTTCAGAGAAACACATGATAGACTATAATAAAATCGATGAAACATTTGGATTCCTTCTTGATTATTTTTTTATTTATATATTTTGCATATGCATAAAGTTTAGATGATTTCCCATTTTAAAGATAGATCAATACCTATAATATGTATGGCTATGGCCAACACATAATATCATCAATAAAACGCTGCACAGATTTTGATAGACATATCAATAATTGATCAAAGCTTTATTGGTACATTCACAATACTGATATAAACATATTGGATAAGCTCATGTTACTTGACAATTGCATTCCGATTAAGTGTATACGTTGGCAACCGTTATTAATTTGATGATATCTGCGGCGACGATTCACCATAATTATTTTCGGGTTGGTTTTATGTGTCATCGGGATATGAGCGTATTGTAAGTGAATTTCTGTTTAGTTAAATAACGAAGAATAATAGCTTCTTCAGTATTGTGTTGAATTTGGATAATGTTGCTTATTTAGTGTTACTCATATCCATTTTTGGTCCAGAATTTGTCGTGGGTGAAGATCGTGGGTGAAGATTGTGGGTAAAGATCGTGGGTGAAGATTGTGGGTGTATGCCATGCTCTCACAGGCCCAAAGTTTCTCTAGGGTTTAATATAATCGCAATAAGTTTTGTTCCATAGATTTTCAGCAGCTTACCTGTTGTGGTTTCGTGTTGGTGTTGAGATACCTTGGGCCCTTTTGCAGGTCTGAGTGTGCTTCCCCAATAGGCAGCCAGTTAGGTTGAAGTGCTAGTTGTCCTAGTGGTAACGCGAGGCTCAATCACTTTGAGTTCGGTGAAGAGCGAGGTCAGGCCATCTATGTTCGATTGGGTCTGATCCAACTTGGGGGCCGATGGGGCCGGCTTGGGCATATCCTTAATAGCGATGGTCTGTGTGGATGTACTGTATGTCATTATGTTGAGCTTGCGTAAGGCCGTTGTGGACTCCACAACCGTATTAGTCGTCATCGTAGCCACAGAGCGTGTTGAAGGATACATCGTTAGCTTTGTTGCTTTCTTTTCGCAAATAACAATATAATTGTATATTTTTTTTGTTTTACTTATTTTTTTTTTTTCAAAAAAAAAATTGAACTCCTTCTCTAAAGCCTAAACTTTAACAAATGAATGAATACAATGCTAACGTTGAAGCTTGTGACACATTTGCAGCGCCTACTACTGTTGAAAAATTTTATATTTGTTGAATTTGCTAGTCCGTCAAAAAATCATCGAGTCAAACAAAGTAGGTGCGATAAATACGATAAATATTACTGTGACAATTAAATGACAGAAGCATATAAATTCAAGGGAGGCATTTTTATTTAAGTCTGACGACAGCAATTCAGATGAATATCTCGATTCGTGCTTCACTTTTCAAGGAAAGAAATCAAGTCTTAGACACCTATTCAGGGCACCAATCGACAGCCCTTCTTTGGTACTTTATGTCTGCATTGCATGGGACAATGAAATACCTCAAAGGTGCGGCATAAGAACAAGAAATTGTCGGAGACTTTTCAAATCTTAAACCTAGTCGTTATTATTAGAACAGGGGCTCCACAACATATTTCGCGAGCTCTGCGCAGAATCGCTAGCAACTTTCCTAGCAGGGAAACTTAAAGAGCTCTTTTATCGAGATAAGGGAATTTACCGAAGACTTGAGTATAATTTATCTCCCTTCAAATTGTATTCAAAGTATGCAACACAGGAAGCAACGCGTAAATTAGAGCCTTTGAGCAAATTATCCATTATTTTCGATCCGAAGGAATAGCATATTATTCCGAGCTCCACTTTTGATACTTTACAATTTCTGCCGTTTCTCTGATTATGTAATATATAAAACTAATCTTGATTTTCTCTTACTCTTATTCGCTCCCCTTCTCTCTGGCACAACAATATCCCTGCACATTTTATGACGATTTCTTATCTTTATTACATATGAAATATACATTTTCGGGATATTATATTACCGTCAATATTTTCGAATAGGCAGATTGGAAATAAAACACATCGTTTGTATATTTTTCATTATCTTTATTATATATTAATTGCCTTGCTGTTAATGTTGCTATTAAATTTGTTATTGTATATTTTACAAAGTACACACAGTATACAAAAAGTGAAATAATAATTATAAAATAAAACAACTTTTCTCTAAATTAAAAAACAATAAAAAAAAACGCATGTGTGATGTTTGCAACTATGCAATCTCGTCTGCTAACTCTCATTTCATTTCATTTCATTTCATTTCATTTGATTCGGGGCAGATACTCTTTGAGTTGCTCTGTCTGCCTAACTGAATGCGGCATAAAAAAAATAGTATATACATCTATATATTTTGTTATATAAATATATGTATATATTGTTTAAACAACGTGATTTGACATTAATTAAATTTGGTATAAAAATCTAAAACAATGTTACATTCTTGTTTCCATTTGTTTTGTTTTTGTTTTATTTTTTATTTATTTATTTTTTTTTTCGTTTTCTTCTCAGTTTTCAGTTACAATTTC